AAAAAAGATAGTCTTTTTATAAGACTCTTACACAATGAAAACAAAAAATTATAACTCTCGTCAAAACAAACACAACAGACGTTTATCACCCGCTGTTTGCGTGGGGTCTTCGCCTGTGCCTGGGATGTTGATATCCGTGGACGACGACGGATTAGATCCGGTTGTCGGAAAATTGACAAAGCTTCTACTTCACCAAGGAAGTATTCGCTTGAAGCACTAAAATCGACCAAGCAAAATCAATACCTCTTTTCGAGATTAAGACTAAGCCTAATCTCAAGAAACAGACGGACGAGGCTTCAGATCCTTCGAACTCTCCCTCTTATGCTGAAGAACTTCGCCAAGATCTGCTAACTTCCTCTGAAATTCGTGCTCTCTTGCTCTCCAACTCGGCAGCACCTCCTCGTCCTGATAATAAGTCACCCCCCGTGAAATGAGTCCCCTAGGCCTGTATTTATAGGCTTTGGTTGGGGTATTTAGATAAGAATGAGTGATTTGGCCGTATCTTGAGTCAATAACGGCCTAATCACGTTTGTAGATGATATCTAAGCAGGTAGGAACCTTTGGAACAGAAGAAACTGATCGAAACAGCCTGAAAATGCATTTTGGAGATTAAGGCAGTTCTGGGCGCAAGACGGACGGCAGTGACCCGTGCGCGCGCGGGTCACAACGCGGTGACCTGCGTGGCCGCAGGTCATTCTTAGGTGACTTGTGCGCCATGCGAGTTCCGAGGTGTTTCCCGACTTTCCCGGACTTGTATTTTTTGCCGTTTTGTTTATTTGCCCGTCGTGTTGACTTGTACACTCCGTGCGAACTGACTAACGTGCGCGTCCGATCACTTAGAGCTGACTTACGTGCACGGGCTGACTAACGTGCACGTCCGGTCACTTGGAGTTGACTTACACGCGCGGGTTGACTGACGAGCATGACGACCAATTAGAGGTGGCCGTTGAGCGCACGAGACACAGTTGGTTCGCCATTCCGGTTCATGAACTTGTAGGCGTCAGATAATCCTCTTAGACTCAGATAACGACGTTCATCATCTTCTCTCCGTCTCGAGCTGTGTACGAACACCTATAAACATTTTTAGATGCCTACATGAAGGTCATGGCATAAATGTTAAGGTTAGGTCGTATATGTTTAGATTATAATGTACCTATTAAGGATATAATATATATGTGAAGGTTATGGCATACATGTTAATCTTATCATGTACCTTTTAAGGTTATGTCATACTTGTTAAGGTTATGGTGTACATGTTAAGGTTATTGTATACTTGTTAATGTTGTATTATAACTATTAAATGTGATAATTTTTAGAGTATATTTAGCTAATTCATATATCTAACATTCATTGGTTAAAGTTATCTGGTAATGCATATAGTTAACATCTAATGGATAAACTTAACAACTAATGAGTAAACTTAACAACTAATGGGTACACTAGTGTTTTAAAAAATGCCCTGGGCGGCCGCCTAGGCGGAGGCGGTGCTCAGGGCATCTCAAAACACCCTAAGCGACGATGTTAAGGCGTTGTGAGCGTATACGCGACCGCCCAGAGTTAAGCAGGCCGCTTAAACGGTCCGCCCAACACTTAAAAAAAACTAATTTGGGCACTGAAATAAAAAAACCCAAATGGTAAACCCAAACCCAAACTAAACAACAGAACCCTAGTTCTCATTCTCACTCCTGACGCCGTCACAAATTACTCCCGCTTTTGAAGTTTTGTTCCTCATCGAAGCTCCCCGACCTCGTTGAAGCCTCTCAGAGCCTCTCGTGGTCTCGTCGACTATCGAAGCCCCGTCGAAGCCCTCGTCGGCTGTCGAAGCGCCGTCGAATGCCTCGTCGAAGCCTTTCGTCTTCGATCTCGTCTCCGAGCTCGTCTTCGATCTCCAAGCTCGTCTTCGGCACCAGAAGTTTAGTCGAACCCCTCCCACCTCATCTTCGATCTCCGAGCTCCCCAATCTTTGTAACAAGGTAAAGAGCCAGACTTCTTAAATATCTATTTAAGTTAGTTAACAACAGTAACTTAAACTTAAGAAGTATAAGTTAACAATAACTTAAGTTTAAGTTAATATTAAGTTTTTGTTGACATTAATTTAAGTTTAAGTAAACTGTAAACAATAAACTTAAGTTTGTTAGTAGTAACTTAAAAGTAATTTTGGGACCTAAACTTCTAGATATGAGATATTATATGCCTTGCTATCTAATATGTATGCATCTTTGATTGAGTATATATATATAATCATATATAATATATATATATATATATCATATCATATATATATATATATATAATATTATATATATATATATATAATATATATATCATATATATATATAATATATATATATATATATATATCTATATATATATAATATATATATATATAATATATATATAATATTATAGGGTATCCTTATCATATAAAGGGATTTCTTCATTGACGCCGTATGTGGCACAATCCCCACCATCCTCATAAAGTAGGAGAGAAGAGTGTGAGTTGGTGGGGATTTGTGCATACTTTATAAGAATGGTGAGAATTGTGGCCACATAAGGCGAAACAAAGAGGAAAATCTCCTCCTATGATAAGGATACCGCATTAATCTCTCTCTCTCTTCTCTCGTCTCTAATATATATATAGTATATATATATATATATATATATATATATATATATATATATATATATATATATATATATATATATATATATATATATATATATAATATATCATATATATATATCATATATATATAATATATAATATATATAATAGAGAGAGAGAGAGAGAGAGAGAGAGAGAAATATGGGTATGCTTGGTACCAATTATAACTTTTGTGCTTGGTAGTGAGGTGGCACAATCTCCTCCACTCATTTAAATTGGGGCACCACATTCACATGGGTTGAGGAGAGGGCATAGTAGGGATATGCAACCATTTGAATGGGTGGAGTGGATTATATCACACCTTAACTACCAAGCATAACTTTTTGTGCTTGGTACCAAGCATACCCATTTCTCATATATAATATATATATATATATAATATATATATATATATATATATATAATATATATATATATATATATATATATCTATATATATATCATCTTCCAAGTATTCACAAAAAATAAAAAAAAAAAAAGCGCCCAGAAACCGCTTGGGCGTCCGCCTAGGCGTCTAAGCGCTGGGCACCAAGTCCGACGCCAAGAAGCGCTATGCATTTAATGTAACATTGGGGTAGACTTAACGCTCAACATTTAGAATTAACATTCATTATACAAACTTAATAGTTATGCTATAAACTTAACGTCCAATGAGTAAAGTCAACATCAGCTAGTATTCACAGCTAATCCTTCATTGTTCACAATCAACCTATACAATTACGAGATCTTTATGATATTTCTTTGTACATCACCTGTTATTATCACAATCCAAGAAACTACATTTCTTTTTGGCATTTCACTAAAACTGTACAAGCAATCTCTAAACTGCCACATATCATATACACATTTAAGTTACTACTTTAAGAAACCATATCTCACTTATCCTTTTCAACCAAATTTCCAATCTACCACTAAGAACTAAAATTACAAATAATCAAATCATAGGATTTGTTTGAGAGAAATGATGGAGAGGAGAGGAGAGGAGATTATTGGGTAGTTTTTGAGGAGGTGGTTTTTGCTTGGGAGATTATCGATGGAGTTGGTGACAGCGAAGAGTGGGGAAGGGAGTTTGACAAAGGAGATGACATCCCTGACAATCATGCAGGAGAGTTTAGAGGAGGACATAGGGTGCTTGATATAGGAGAAGATGGTGGCGAGCTTAAAGGAGGAGATATTATCATTGTCATTGGAGTTAAACTTGTTGAGGATGTGCTTGAGGTCGATGGTAGTAGTGGAGGGGAGACGAGAGAGGGAGTCAGAGGATGCACTTAAGGTTGATGGTGGTAAAGGGAGAGGTGGGAGAGGGAGATGGTAAGTCGGAGGGGAAGACGAGAAAGAAGGAAAGAGAAGGTTAGGATTAGGAGAGAGGAGGGAGGAACAACCATGAATGTTAAGGTTAAGGTTAGGGTTAGGAGAGATTTGGACTAGGAGAGAAGGGAAGAGCAGCGTTAATAATGGCGCCAGTGGCAGAGGTTGGGGAGGATGATTTACGGTCGGTTTGGATATAAAGGAGGGGAAGGGAGGGGAGTTACTTAAACCCAAGAGGAGGGAGTGAAAAGGAATATGCTGGAATGTATTCATTTGTTTGGATAGACAATAAGAGGATGGAAATGTATACTATAATATGTGTTTGTTTAGAGTAGGGATGAGAAGGGAAGGGGAGCTATTTGACCACTATGCCCTTTTAATAAAATAAGAAAGAGTGCCTTTAGATTTTTTTCATATAGAGCAATATTGAAATTTTAAGAAAATTTCATTTTGAAACGTCTACCATTCCCTCCAAATCCGTCCACTTTTAGAGGGTTGAGAAAGTGACTGAATTTTCTAATTTTCCTCCCTCCCCTCCCCAGGGTTGGGGTGGGGGGTAGGAGGATCTCACTACGGCTGTGGTCTCCGTGTGAGAGAGAGAGATGATGATGATGATGATGATGATGATGACGACGATGACGACGACGATGATGATGACAGGTATTTTTGGTACATTTTTGGGTTTTTTCTTGGGAAGTGTAAATAGGGGTTGAATCATAAAAGCCCATCATATTTGGGGCTAATATACAGTGGAACTAATATGTAAGGTTGGGCTACATGAAGTTTTAATTTTTGAGGCATTGACACGCTTTTTCTGAAAAAAAGTTCATAAATTGTCTTGCAATCCTACTTTTATAAACCAAAAAGGGAAAATAATAAAAAAGTAAAAAAAGTCAACTGGATTTAAATTTAAAACATTTAAACCCATGGGCTAATAAAACATATTTGCAAATGAAAATTTAAACGAGGGCGTAAGAATCAAAATTAGGAAGGAAAAGCACACGCGTCGCATTCGGACAAACTTCGCCCAAACACTCAAGCGGCCATCCGTCGAGCTCTTGAAACTCCTCTCTCTCCCTCCCTCCCTCCGTCCCTGCCCTCTCTCTCTCTCTCTCTCTCTCTCTCTCTCATAAAAATGGTCTATGATCTTTCACAGCTCGAGCTCAGGTACTCCTCGATCGCCCCCTAATTGGTTCTTTGGTTTAGAATTCCGTAAATTCTTGTTTAATCTCTTTAATTTTGTTTATAGATGTTGTGAATTGAGGTAATTTCCTCTCGAAAAGATTGAAATATTCAATTTTGGAAAAACCCTTTTGATGTGTCGTTCAGATTAGAAAATTTAACCCTGTTTTTAACTGTAAATCCTACTTTGATGCCAAACAAATGAATTTTTTTACTAACTGGAAAATGGGCAAACGTGGAGTAGGAGACATAAAGAGGTAAATTTGGATATATGTGTATAGGTCGAGTAAAATATGTGTGTTACCTTGCATTGGCTCGTTATTGGGTTTCAGGATTTTGTTATGGTTAGTAAAAAAAAAAAATCATATATCTTCATCCACTAACATTTTGCTTGAATTAAGGATGTTTCATGTTGCTCAAACATGTACCGGAAATGATACCAGTGCCTTTGTAGGGTAACGAGAGGCACATACGATTCTTGAGTATACTGAGATAGACCCTTAAGCATATATTCAAGATGACATTCAAACTAGAAGATAATAAGAATGAGCTTTGGGGTACTGCATAGATTACCCATTAATGGTGAAAACAAGAAAAAGAAAATTCTATTAGATGGTTATAGACCGACTATGTGCTGTTGACTACATTGTTGTCAATTGAAACATGTTCAAAATTTATTTTAAACGTAATGCAAATGTTGAGAATAGGTCAAAAGTTAGGCTTATGATGAGTGGATCTCAAGAAGTGTATGTTGGATATTTTATGTCAAAGCAATTAAAGGTAGTAAATAACCAAATAAAAATACGAAAACTAGAGAAAGAAGTTGTTGGCCCATAAGGCGACAGTTGTGATATTGCTGTCCTAGAACAACAATTACCGCCTTCACAGAGGCCGATGAATGCAACTGTGAATTAGTGGTAAAAGTCGCCTCGAGGTAGCTGACACTTGAGGTTACTGCGAACCTCAAGCCTCTTGCCCAATGTATGCTTGCCCAATGAGAAACTGATAGAAAGATAACGTGAGAGATCAAATAACTACTTTGAGAGGAAGATTAGAGAAATGCTTGATCTCTTTTTTTCTCCCCATCATCCTCTAACGATATTATTTTATAACTCTCGGGGAAGAATGTGCGCTAAGAAGACTCCTTGCACACGAAAGAAAAGAAACGGAATAGTGATGATTACGTGATATTTTGAGAAAGCCGAAATTAGGTATGACATGTTTTACTTATTTGAGAAATAAAATAAAAGGATATTGGGATGTTAGATTTGAAGAATTAGGTAAGGAAAGGAGTATTCTTATTTGGGAAATTCATTTACACCCCTTTAAGAATTCAGATTTGCTAAGATAATTAAGTTTAAAAAGTTGTGATAGAAACCCAATCTTTTCCTACTAATTTTTTCTAACAATCCCTACCAAAGGTTGAATTTTGAGAAAGAAAAGGAAGCTTAAGAAAGACAAAGAAACAAATAAAGAATAGTAAGGCCGGGAAACCTAATATTGTGAATTCGGGAAAGACTGCTTTCAGCTTTGAACCTTTGCTTGGTGATATTTTATCGCAACCTGAGAGGCATAATGCACTAAACATTGAATTAGGCCTCTTTATTAGATATTAACAAAAGTACACATAATATGCATCCATTTAATGAGCAAGTGGGTAGGAGCATTAATGGTCATGCTCACATAATCGTCTCATGAGAGTTATTAGGGTCAGCCCTATGTCCCCTAATTGCGGACTTTACGGTTCCTTTCACGTAGGTAAGTCCTCATAGAGTATTGTAATCAGATATGATACCTCTTACAAATAGTATGTTGAGCTTATTAAGAGTAGAACTCATTCTGGCCAGTCACATCATAAGAGCACCCTTACCTTAGGAATGAGGGAGTAGCTAACATGATGCAAGTTATAAATGCATCCAACACTACAAAGGAGTGTAACTCCAAAGCAAAGCCAGTGCTCCACACAAGAATTATTAGTCTAGCTTGTTTCTACCATATTGAACCTTGTTCATGGGAACAACTCGCTAATCAGAAGGTTGAGTTCCTCATCCCCCTTGATGATCCTAGGATTTTATTCCTAGAGAGATCATTTTATCAAATTGGACTTTAAGAAAATCCAAGGTTATAAATGGCTTTGCAACCATTTTATATATTCACATTATCTTTTAGAGGTGTTACTATGCAAGTATACAGACACGTCATGTAAAATCCACATGTGAAAGATATTAAGGCCTCGTTTGGTACGCGGGAATGGGGTGGAATAGAATGATCATTCTCACTTCTCATTCCTTCTTACCAAACACACCCTCTTTTTTGAAGTTGGGGGTGGAATAGAATGATCATTCTCACTTCTCATTCCTTCTTACCAAACACACCCTCTTTTTTGAAGTTGGAATGCCCATTCTCATCACTTCTCATTCCTTCTTACCAAACACACCCTCTTTTTTGAAGTTGGAATGCCCATTCTCACTTCTTATCAATGAGAATGAGCATTCCCAATGAAATGATAGGGAATGGACATTCCCACTTAAATGGGAATCAATAAAATATATAATTTTAAAATACGTTCATTCCCACTTCATTTTATAAATTACACCCAAACATGAGAATGAGAATGACTATTCAATTCTCACATTAATTCCATTCTATTCCTTCTTCCATTCCATTCTCATTTGAGTCCATTCCCGCGTACCAAACGAGGCGTAAATACATATGCAAGATACACTTGAGGAAATCATTTAGTATTTCATCTTGAAGGATGTCAATATTTGCTAATTCATGAATATCATTGAATCCACTTTACATGAAAGAATTTCATACTAGTAATGTGTTGGAAAATAAATTTTGCAAATATATTTTAATCGAATAAAAAAATATAAATATTTTCACTTATTCGTTATTGCCAAAATTATGATGATGCTAGAGGATTTAAAAGTTATATGTAGGACACACCATGACTGCAAGGTGGTTGCCTACAAGTGAGACTTTCCTAAACCTTGCCTCACCATCTTTTTTCGTATCATCTGTTCCACCTCTTTTGACAAGTCATCATAGTTTTGATAATTTAAGTAATTTAATATTTCACATATATTTTGAATTTAACAAGTACTATCATGCATGAATTCTTGTAATCAAGTGATCCAATTTGTTTATATGGGCATATTATAGAGAATCAAATTAAGTTTGAGTTCAATTGTGACAGTATCGGCACATGACATGATTAATATTGTTATCATTCTCAAAAGAATTACAAAGGTTAGATACAACTGACTGCTTGATGTTCTCGCTGTAATGTTTGTATCAGTCTTGAACAATATCCTTCATATTTTCCCCGTCATGAGGTACAAGAAAATAAGAACAAAGTAAATGCTTATTGAAACAGGAGCATGAGAAAAACATATAAAGTGTCAGAATAACACATATCAAAGCCATAATCCTCCAGCTTTATCAATTTTCTTAGGAGTTACCCATAAGTTCAGTTTGATATTATGCATACTACTACTCTTTATTTTGGATGAACTAGTCATATAAATATATAGAAATCAAAAGACTTACCTCTTGATTTGTTTTGCTGAGACAATAATTCATATCACCTTTAACTAGGCATACACAGTTGACAAAATATACATATCTATATCAACTATAATTTCATATCTGTAATCTCAAATGGAACATTAAACAAGCAAACATATGAAAAGATACACCTATTACGTTTTTAGCAAATATATAAAAAGTATCGGATATCATAACATTTTTTTAGCACACAATAATTTTATAATTAGCAATAGATTCCTAAAACAGTCATAATATACTAGAGTCTAGATACTTACGTCTTTAAAATATGATTAAGGGACGTGTCTAACAATGAATTTGGATCTGTGGTTGTAAATATCAAATAGTCAAATATTATTATTAAGGAAAATTGGAAACACAAGTATACAATGGTTTGTCATAAAACATCGACCAATTAGCAAATACTACTACTAAATATTTAATCAATTGGCAGCAGAAAAAGGTATTATAATTAATTAATTTTGCAAACTAATGTGACATCCACATGTTCACAGTGGAGCCAAAAGGAATTTAATTAGACAGATTTGGTTTAACCAGCACGTAGAAAAGGAACTTGGTCAATCTATACCAAAAGCGGATAGTCTATCAACACTAAATAATAATCAGCTTTATAAATAATGAATTGTGCAGATTACTAGCAGTTATTCATAGTCTGCTAATTTGATTGTTGAAGCTTAACAAGATAAGCACCAAGCAATAGAGACCTGTAACGTCCCTCATGGAGGTACATAAAAATTTGGGCATGACCTGTCTGTAATAGGAAGGATCGACTTGCTTAATAGTGGAGATGCATATGCAATACTCAGGATCACAAGGATGACAGCAGAGCCCATAGAATATCATAATAGAAGAAAACTAAAGTGAACAATAAAATATTACGATAATGATAATAGCTACAAACATTAGTACATGTTTGATAGCTAAAAGTACTACAAACTTCTATTAAGATTTTTCTCCGGAGCTAATCTTCAAATTCAAGGTCTGTAATCCCCTTATCCTTACCGATTGTATGACCTGCGAATGGATTCAAAAACAACAGGAGTGAGCCTAAGGCCTAATAGGTAACCATAAAAATCTCGGGTACAACATAAGGGGATGAATGGAAAGGACAATCACAAATATTTGAACTTGAATGAAGCGATCTCAACATTAAGTTACATTACTTATATCATGATCATTGATCGAAATAAAATAACATGTCAATATGAATAATTAATGTCTAATATTTAGGATTCCAAACTCCCCAATCATGAGATAATTAATAAACCGTGCATGCCTTTATACACCCACCGGTGAGCGTCCTCATACAGGACATTGTCTTCATCGAGATCCATTACTATTACCACCCATCGGTGAAGCTTACTTCACACATGGTATAATCCATGAATATAGACCATCAATCATCAACAAAA